AACCCTTCTCCCAAGCACCTCCTGAGCTTCAAGGCTGAGAAAAACCATCAGAGAGCAAAGCATTTGTTCCCATTACTCAGGACAGCAATTACAGAGATCTCTTTCGCATTTATCAAGAAAGGTCAGGGACAAAGTGGCAATAAAAGCACCTCACAGGCCCTGGGCACCCACCCTCGGCCTTCACCAAACAAAACAAGACCTTCCAGAGGCCAAGGAGATTCCGAAGGTCATTTATTTACACCTGACAGTGCTGTGGGATTATCCTGCCTGAAGCTGCTCCTGCCTTAAAAAATAGCTCATCGAGCTACTGAGCAGCTCTGCAGCATGCAGGCTGTGAAAGCAACACCGGGGCCAGGGGAAGAGGAGATGGGAAGAAAGCCTCAGCCAGGCTGCCCAGTGGTGAGAGCCAGGCACCAAAATTCATCCCTCACATTCAGCTATGAGCACGTTGCTTTAAGTCACAAGATTAAGACAACACAGGCTCGGAGGAGAAACCTGTGGTTTGGGAAATGCGTTATGAAACCCAGCTGTAAGGCAGAGGGACAGACCCCACTGCAGCGACATCCATGGTTCAACTCAACAGACGTGACAGCTGCAGGAGGAGGCCAAGATGTTAAACACTGGCACAGGGTGCCCAGAGAAGCTGTGCCTGCCCCATCCCTGGCAGTGTTCAAGGCCAGGTTGGACACAGGGGCTTGGAGCAACCTGTTCTAGTGGAAGGTGTCCCTGCCTGTGGCAGGGGGGGTGGAGCTGGATGAACTTTAAGGTCCCTTCAACCCAAACCATCCTATAGTTCTATGACAATTAAACACCTTGGTGCACCAAAGGGATCAAGAGTTGCCTTACAGCCCAGCCAGTGACTGGTGGAAGCAATCATCCAGCCTACAAAGAGTTACCTGGGATGCTCAGTTCCCAGGAGGAAGGCTCAGCTATGTCCTCCTTCTCCCACACTGCCATGATGCCACTCAGAGAGAACACTAACCTCTTCAGAGATTGGACTGCTTGAATCTGCAATCGATAGCTCAGCTTATCAAAGGCTATTTCCTGAGCAAGAGATAACCTTGACAATGCAATCCCTGGTTATGAATGTTACCTTTGATCAATAACTGTCACAAATGCATTAGAATTAATTGTTAAACCTTGTATTTTAAACTACATTTATTGCTTCCTGCACAGCTCATTCTCCACACACCAACAAAGGAAAAGAGAAGTATTTTTCTTACAACATGACATCCATGATTAAATCTCTCCAACACCTTGACACACGCCATTGCCCAAGGGCCCCAGTCTCACCTTGCTCACTGACAGCCTCTGGAGATCATTCCCCCAGCAGCATCCTGCCCCTCTGGCAGCACAGCCAGGTACTGCTGCTTTAGGGGATGCTCCCAGGAGTGCTTTGTTATTTGGCCTGTTTTAAGGTCTCTTCCAAGCCAAATCAGTCTGGGATTAATGAAACTCTTACAGGATGAACTGTGACTTAACGTGCTGTTGCGTACCAGATGAGTTGTGTCAAGTCATTAAATCCCAGCAAGTCTTCCCACACACTGGAGAACCCAGTGACCAACAACAGTATCCCTGTGAAGGTGATTATCTAATACAGAGCAGCTTCCACCAAAGCTTGGTCTTACAGGCTGCTAGAAACTCTTGGCTAACTCATTTAAGCACTAACACTTGCTCCTGACTTGAAACATGTGTAAGTATCTGAAGAGCAGAAAACACTGAGCAAGAGAACATGCCAAATCATCTGTTAGCACCTCAAGGATTCTCATTGAAAACAACCTTTCAACCTTAACTATTTCCTGGCATTCAAAAGTATAATAAAGCCACTTGAATTATATTTTATCCCTCGATGTCTGACTATTACAGTTACTGTGGGATGACCCACACAAACAGTCCCCACTCACAATAGCAGCATAAAAAAAAAAAAAAAGAAAAGAGGGATTTCTGCAGTTTTTGCAAGCCATTAACATTTTTATTTCAAAGTCAAATAAGGAGCATTGGAGTTGTGACCAGCTCTAACACCAAACCCACAATTCTGCAGTTTCTTCAGTATCTTGCCTCAAGCCCTTATCTGATTTTCCAAGAGATTAAGAAATCTTGACAGAGCATTTATTGCCCAAGTTAAACTCCCTACAAAACATCACCAGTTTACAGGAGGTGATAAAACCACCACACAGAATGGTTCCAGCCACTTTACCTTCAAATGGATGACTACTGTCTAACATTAATGAAAACATAAGATTTTGGGCTACGAAACAAGCTCTGTGTTCCTGGTTTTAAACTGTACCATTTGAACTCCTCCCATTTCAAGCTGCCTTGATTTACCTGGAGGGTTTGCTCCTCTGTACACCATTATTTACAACGGTATTTATCAAATTAGTGAATTTTGATACAGCAACAAAACTTATCCTGCAGCAACTGCAGCCATGATGCTCTAACCTCCCCTTTACTCACATCTGGCAACACCAAACCCATAGCTCCTTCATATTTCTCTTCTCTAGCCCCTCCATCACTGGACATCAGCACCACCTCCCCATCATATCCTTATGCGCAAGCTGCTCTCTCTGATACCTTGAGTTCCCACCAAAGCTTTCCACGGGGATGCTGTACCCCAGCTCCCAACCAAGAATGACTTGAAAATTCAGGTGCCAGAGATAATAGATACGTGTATTTTGTGGACAGATCTGACTACACAGCAATCCAGGTCAGGACATGCTCGCAGAGCACTGATAGCACGGACCTTCCTGTTCCCTTCTATGCTCAGTGCATCTGAAGCTTCTCTGACAGCTCCCAAGACACGGTCTGGCTGCATCACCCACCACAGTCATCCCCACACACAACACCAACTCCTGCTCCTCCAGATACTCTTATAGCCATGTCCAAAGTCAAGCTCCAGGTCAGTGAGCTCAACAGTCTGATGCCTAAATTTCTTTTTAAAGAAAAAACCCACAAGGCAAAGCTCCCAGAGGAAAGATTTGTTACAAACAGCTCCACTCCAAAGGCATGGCAGGAGTGGGTAAGAAGCTTCATGTATGCTGACACAAGCATCCCTGGCAGCCAGTCAGCGATGGACCTGTTCCCAGCATGACCTGGCTCTGCCCCTTCCCCACATGAGCAGCACCTCTGGGACTTTCTTCCTCTTTAAGGAAACATGCTTCACAATAAATAAAACCAGAATAGCAACGGAGCAAAACTGAGTCCAGACACCTACCAAAACAAATGACAGTGTGCTGTGAACACAATTCAGTCCTTGGAGAGGACAAGAGAAAGAATGAAGCAGGGACAAACATCAGATGCAGTGTTAAGCACAAGAGGTTAGAACACAACAGTAACAAGAGGCTTGGAAGATGCCCAACAGTCAGCATTGCCCAGTATGCGTGCACACCATGCAAGCCAGATAAATCACCTATATCAAACATGACTGCATTTTGAGCAGGTTCAAATAAAAAGGCAAAGCCTGTAAAAGAGTATTCTTAGATATATATTGTGTTTCTGCCTGAAAACTTTCAGAAAGGTAGGCTTCCAGGCTTCAGAAAGGAAGGAAAGTCCTCTGAAGCACTGAAGGAAAATACAAGTTTCATTGATGTTCTTTACCAAAAAAAAAAAATCAAAAGATTTCAAAGTCCAATAGTGGAAACGACAGTATTGGAAATGGCTTTTCTGTCGGTTTTGGAGGAGAACGGCAAACAGCATCCTTTACAGCATCCTTTACCAGCCTCCTGAAGCCAGGCTGTGGAAGTGTATTAAACACCATCAGTCACACATGGGAAAGCCTTTGGAGAGCTCAGCTTTTCCTGAAACCACAGTATCAGAACACTGGGAAGCCCAAAAATTAGAAGCAAGCCCCAAAGAACAGTTAAACATGCACCAGTGTGGCTTATTATCTCTGCAAGTGGCATCTTTCTGATTCATGATGTAGAACGGGAAAAGTTTCGTTTCTTCCAAGTGTTTCTTTATTTAACCCCACTCCCCAGCAGCACCAGCAGCATTATCAAGCCTTGGTTTCCATAATTTTTGGGGACACAACTTTATCTTGGTGTGGTCAACTGTGCAAGCAAATCCTTTGCTAAGGAAATACAGACACTGGATGCTCACATACATCTCCTTCAGCTTGACAAGCACCAACCAAGATGACAATATTTACGCTGACTAAACTTTTTTCTTCCCTCCCAGGAAACTTCTTGAGAAGTAAATAAGCTTTCACTTATGCCACTGCACGGTGAAACCTGCAAGTGCATCTGACTAGAAGAGATCCCACAGAAACGATTTCATTTAAGCACCTTTACTTCTAAGCCAGCAGCAGGAGGTTTTTGACTTAGTTGTAGAGATGCTCATATCACAGGGGTAAAATCACATTAGGGACTGAACCTCTATTTTCACGTTGTCCCAAAAGCTTGCTGTATGTTTTTAAGAGGCTCCAGTCTCCCGAAGGCCAGCGGTGGTGCAGAAGTGCCTTGCACCCCACACACCAAGCAGCGTTTAACGTGCCCGTGGACACTTCTCAGCCCAGACCAACTCCTCATAGCGCTCCGCCGGGTCACGCAGATGCTATTTATACCCTCGCTAAGAGGCAGCTCAACAAAAAAGCCCCAGAACTGAGCCTGCTCCTCGGTAACTTCCAGCCAACCGTCCCTGCTCCTCCAGAGGGGAAAAACCCCACCGGGAATCCCGCCTAGCCAGGGCAGCCCCCGCGCCGGCTGCACCCGGCTTCTTCCCCGAGGCGGGCTCCGGCAACCGGGGCGGGAACACTGCGGGATCAGCCCCCTCCTGCCGGGTACTCTCCACAGCCGGCCCCCACCGTGCAGCCGCCCGGACCGGAGGGAGCCAGGGGCGGCCCCCGCCCCGGCGAGCCCCCGCCTCACACAGCCCGCGGCCCCAGCCCTGCGGCCGGTAGCCCTCCCGCCCCGGTCAGGCGCCGCAGAGAGGTGGCCGCTCGTTCCGAGGCCCGCCCGTAGGGGCGGCCGCCACAGAAAGATGCCCCCAAGCCCCCGCCTCGGTACCTCGATCTTGTCGACGCTGCGAGCGCACCCCACCACCTTCATGCCGTGCTGCACCAGCGCCCGCGCCACAGCCGCGCCGATACCCACGGAGGCACCGGTGACCAGCGCGACGCGCCCGGTCCAGCGCTCCATGGCCCCGGCCCGGCCCCACCGCCGCGCACAATGCACCGCCTGCCCGCACTGAAACCACGCCCCCTATACCCTAGGCCACGCCTCCGAGGCGGACATCACGCCCATGGCCACGCCCCCCGCCTTGCATGCATCGAGTTTGTGAAGGCTCAGCCGGCGGTAGGCCGGGAACGGTCACAAGCAGGTCTGGGTTTGGGGGTTTCCTCCCCAGAATATTCCCAGTGAGAAGGGGTGTTTTAAACCCAGAATAGCACAAAATGGAGGCATTAATTCCAACCATGAGACAATGCCATAACCACGTTCACCAGCACACGCAGCAAGGAGGAAAAAGCTGCTTCATTATTTCATACAGAAGCCAAAACACATCCAAAAATGACACACAGGTTCTGAAAGACTACATGGGGAACATTTTAACCGCAATGCCCCATGGCAGAGTGGGTGATGTGTGATGGCCCCTCCTGCTGTAGACAAGATGCTCATACCTATCCACATCCTGAAAACCCAGTCATGGGAAGGACACCAAACAAGGCACCCAGCACCAGGCCAAACAAAAACCAAGGCACAGCCATGGGGATGTGGGAGGGAGGAAAGGCGTCTGGTGGGACCAGGGGACAGAGCTCTGCTGCAGGATGAAGTGGCTTTGTGGAGGACCTGTCATCCCCAAGGTCCAGGGAGCACATTTAAGTAATTCACAGAAACTTCTGAAGAAACAGATTAATTGAAACAGGAGAGACAAAGGTCCAGCTGTCTAATTTATGGAGGAAGAATAGGCTGGGATTCAATAGAATAGTTAGGGTTGGGAAGGACCTTAAGATCATCTGGTTCCAACCCCCCCACCACGAGCAGGGACACCTCACACTAAACCATGTCCAACCTAACCTTGAACAGCGCCGGGGATGGAGCATTCACAACTTCCCTGGGCAATCTATTCCAGTGCCTCACCACCCTCACAGGAAAGAACTTCTTCCTTATATCCAATCTAAACTTCAATTCTGTATAAGCTCAGGAGCCTCAGAAACTCAGCAGTGAACCCTGGCGAGACCTTCACTACCTGCTGTGGGCAAACAGGGAGCTGTAAACATCAGAGTGTGAATAACCAGACAACTCAGTCCACCCTGTGGGCACTAAGTGCATAGACCTGGAGGAGGATAAACCACAAGTATCTCTCAAATCTAACGTTTTGGGCATCCAAATTGCACAGGTCTCGAATAGCTAGTGGCAGTTCTTTCACCAAAAGGGTGAAAGAACTGGAGCAGGCTGCCCTGAGCAGGGGTGGAATCACCATCCCAGTGTTCAAAACCATGCAGACAAGGCCCTTACTGACATGGGTTAATGGAACGGTTGGACTTGATGATCTTAAAGATCTTTTCCAACCGACTTGATTCAATGATTCTATGATTATTGAATGTCTTAATTCCTAAGTAGCACCCCTAAAGCTGCATGGGCAGCCCATCACTGAAAATTAAAACACTAAAAGAAGAAAATGCACAGGTACCCAGCATCTTTAGGGTTTGTTAGAAATAAAGCAGCAGTTGCGTACCTCATCAGGGAAGGGGTTCAGCTCCCCATGGTGCGAGGTCCTCAAATGGGCTGCGGCCTGGGTGCTGGACACAGGAGCTGCTGTGGTGAGGAGGGCCCCTTGGGTGTAATGAATTCATTGGGAGCGCTGTAGAGGCCACCATGCTGCACACAGCAAACAGCACCAACAGCATCTGCTGATGGCCAACGGGGTCCTTTGGTCCTCTCTGTGCTCTGCGTTGTTGGGGAAGAAGGAAAACGAGTGTGGCAGTCTCTTCGTTTACCAGCATCTGTGACTGTCTTGACGGAAAAATAAATGAAGCCCCCAAAATGGTGCAGAGTTCAAATGCAAATGGCAGTAGGAGGCAGCATGAGCCCCCGAGAGCTCCGGCAAAGCGTATGGAATGTTCTGGAAGGCAGCAGGAGCACTGGTGGGCGCTGGCAAAGCCCATGGAATACCCTAAAAGGCAGCAGACCCGCTTGGCAGGCTCTGGCAAAGCCCATGGAGCGCTCTGGAAGGCGGCTGTGGCAAAGCCCGCCATAACTCCGCTGAGGCGACAGGGAGCGGCCGCCGGCCCCATGAGGGCCGCCTTCCCGTTGTACATCGAGCGCGAAGCCGGCGCAGGCGGTTCCCCGTCAGAAGGGCGACGAATTGATGAGTTGAGGGGTGCTTCCCCTCACAAAAAGCGCAGAAACGATTAAAACCGGTTAAAACAAACTAAACCAAACACAAACCCGCTGCAGCGGTGTGAGGGGCGGGCGGGCCTCCCGCCGGTGCCCGTTCCCGCCTCGGCGGCCCCGCCCGCGCAGGACCCGGATGGACCCTACGTGACACGGGAGGGGAGCGGCGGCCGCGGTGGCTGCCCGCTCTGCGGGGCTGGCAGCAGGTGAGGGCGGGCGGAGAGGCGGTGCCCCCCGGCTGCCCTGCTCCCTCCTCCGGTCGATGTGGAGCCGGGCTGGGCGAGGAAGACGCGGCGGCGATGGCTCCGGCAGCAGCTGCAGGTGGTTCCCCCGCGGCCCGGCAGGGGGCATGAGCGCTCGCCGCCGGTACCGGAGCGGCGGGAGGAGCCTGTGAGGTGAAGGGCGGGAAAGCACCCGCGGGGCTCGGCTGAGGGGAGCGGGAGGGGGTCGGGGAGCGGCGGCTTCCAGTGACCTGCCATGGACCGCGGCCTGGGCGGAGTCACACCATAGAGAGCCAACTCCCCCACCTTCAGGTGCTTTGTGCGGTCCCTGTTACCATTTAGGTTGTTTTAAAGGACTTATCGAGGTGCTCAGTATTGAGGTGCCTAATTAATGATTAATTTGATAAGAGAGCTGGCTTAACCACACCTCTGACTCAGTTTCTGAGCTGTTTTGGGACTGTGCTGCCCTGTCCCGAAAGGGAATGGTGGCTTCTCACCTCAGGGGGTGGAACTGGGAAGCTGCTTCGAGCTCATTGTCCATACTGTGAAACTCTGTGTAAGGCGGTAGTTGCTGCAACCAGTGAGTACAGCTTGAGTAGCCTTTATCCATGGGTTGTTAGGCAGAAGCTCTTCCCTGTGAGGGTGCTGAGGCGCTGGCACAGGGTGCCCAGAGAAGCTGTGGCTGCCCCATCCCTGGCAGTGTTCAAGGCCAGGTTGGACACAGGGGCTTGGAGCAAGCTGCTCTAGTGGAAGGTGTCCCTGCCTGTGGCAGGGGTTGGAGCTGGATGAACTTTAAGGTCCCTTCCAACCCAAACCATTCCATTATAATTCGGTTTACTTCAGCTTGGGGATCTCAGCCCTTTTTCAGGATAGTTCTTTGCTATTCTGACATGGATTCATTAGAATTGACTGAATGCTGTGTCTTTTCCCTCTTTGCTCACACGAAGTCTCTGGAACAATGTTATGGAGAGCCTGCTAAGTCCCCTCTTCTGCATTCTCACAGGAACCTAGTTTCCTTTGGAAAAAGTGAGAGCCTTCCTAACAATGTGGTTGGCATCTCCCCAGAACAAGCATTTGCTGATGAGTTAGCTTTGGATAGCACGTTGTTAGGTCTCCTATGAAGCATTTGTACATTAATACCTTTAAACAAGTGCATTATGTCACTTTTTTGTAAGTATGTAACTTTGCCAACACCGGTGTAACCTCGAAAGGTATTTAAGGGAAAGTTGTTTAAACCAATACAGAAAAGTTGAGGGAACAGCAGAGCCGTAAAAAGCTCTTTTGAATCTTGGAATCAAGTGAAATTTGATGCAGCTTGAGGGTTGCTATTATTCCCTAGGGAAGGAAGCAAAACATGCAGGTCCAGTTCACTTGGCAAGTGTACGTGAGACAGTATCTGAGCTGTGGATATCAAAGCTCTGGGGAGTAATCTCTGCCATTTAAATTACAGGTAGGTTGTAAACTGGAAGTCGTTTCTGGTAGAGTTGGATGGTGCTGATGTATGGGTCAGTTACACATTTGATTTAGTAGTAATGTTGTTTATTGATGATGTTTTCTCATTAATTATCTGTTCATCTGGACCTAGACATATTTGAAAGTGAAATGGGTGCATTTCGTAAATAAACCCTGTAACTTTAAAGAGAGATTTAGCAAAGAAGTATTTTTGTGCATAGTTAATGATTGTGCATGCTTTAAGTGGCAAGAAGAGGATATTCAGATGGATGCGTATTCCTCATGAACTGAAATGAAGAGAACCAAAATGCAGAAGACTGTATGTTAGAAAACTGGTCAGTGATCAGCTTATGTTTGTCTTTCAGGAAAGAATACTCTCTGTTCCAGTCACAACTGCTGTTGCACTACTCCATGTCCATGGGTGAGCAGGAAGTGAAGCAAACCAAGAGAGGAACTTCACATACCCTTTCATGAGCGTCAGAAAACAGGTTAAACTTGTCAATGATCAGTCTCGTCATTTAACTGCCACTAATGTTATTCCTAAATCCTGGACTAATTATGGGCTGGGATCTTGTACACTAAACATCACTATTTAGGGGATTGCTCTGTGTTCTAATGGCAATGAAGGTTGCTGCTCACAAGCACAACATAATTATTGTATGCTCTCTCACGTGTTTTTCCTCAACCTTGGTGTCATGTTGAAGGAGAATTATGAAAGAGGAAGAAAAAAATCCTTTTTCTCAAACCTCTGTTTCTGTTGGGAAAGAGGATCTTTTTGGTACAATGCCAAATGAATGAACTTGCCCAAAATACATTTTGTGGTCAATGATGGTGATGTACTTAATGGAGCTGAAGTTGTTTATTCAGAATATGCTCTTTTTATGTGAAGAACATTGGACTTCCTTGAAAATTACAGAGAATTAAAGATCATAGTTTGGGTCAGTCTTGAGTTGTTTTGAATAGTCTTAAGAGAACTGGAAATAGAGCAGTCAAAGCACGTGTGTCAAGTAACAGCATTATAAATAATACAGTCACAATAAGTACAGGCCCGCAGTCAAGTTTTACTGTGCATCTTGTAAATTAAGCTCTTGCAAGCTGTTTCTTGATGATAATTAGTTTACCTCCTTGAAGGAGTCGCTGCCAAAATAATCTTTCCTTTATGTTGTATATATTTTTTATCTATGAGGCATAGTTGACTTGTTTTGATAATTGATGATATCAGAATAAATGTTGTTTCAGGACAAATATTAAAGTCATTAATAAGGTGTAGACTTTGAGAAGCTCTTCCATGCTCATTTCTTTTCCTGTGCATTGTACTGTTGTAGAAAAAGGATGATGAAGTGAAAATCCATCTTTTGAAATGTAGAGAAGAGAAAGTAAGTCCCTGTCCTGAGCTGAGACAAGCCTCTTTAACAGCAGTTTAAAAGGAAGTGTTTGAAACTGCACAATACCTACTCACCTAGGTTCATTAGGGTGCCAGACAGGATCTTGAATTCACCTCCACAGAATGTGGAGCGTTTGATCTGATCAGCTCTCTAAAGATTATCTATTTTGGCTGGAAGCATCCCAGTTCTGTCTGGGTTCGTTCTGAACTTGCAGTGTTCCCTTTAAGAACTGAGGTGTACAGGCAGGCTGATGATGTGCATGATGACTCTATTAAAAGATTTCATAAGGCAGAATAATTAATCATGGCTTTTAAAGTTTTATGTCATTTCTGCGTTTTGATTTGGATTGGAAGCAACCTTTCTGCAACATTTATTTAGTCAATAAATAAATGTACCAGATGTGCATGTACAAATACTCCTTTTCTGTTTATGTTTTATAGGGATTTCAGAGAAGGAGCTTGCAGGGTTAAAGAGCTAGATAAAGCCTCTGGTAGTATAATGTCTTTGTTAGGATGTTGTGATGCCACTGGAGACACCCCGGCAATCCTGTAAACAGAGGTACTCTTTACATAATGCAGTGTAAAAAGAGCAGCAGGGTTTCTACTCTTTCCTACTCTGCTCTTCTAATTATTGTTTTTATAATGCAAAGTATTGTTACTCCATCCCATCCTCCAGCTGAAAATGGACCGTAGAAGCATTGTAGTTGGCATTTCTATGCATGTTTTTTCTGTGCAGGAAAGGAAATTGCTGATAAGCAGTAAAAGCACAATGTAATATGCTGAGTTAAATACATGCTTATCAGATATGTGTGTTTATGTACAGTGTAATGTGATGCAGTAGGCAGGAAAATGTTTTCTCTGTTGGAAAACTCCTATTTCCTCATCTCGCAGGAAGTGCTAGAACTGGACAGAGCTGTTACAGTGTGTGTCGCTGTGCATACAGGCTCTGCTCCGCCTGTGCAGCTGAAGGTGATAGACCCAGAGGTGGGTTGGGAGCAGCAGTCCGGGTGTTGCACAGCACCCATGGCCAATGAGAGTGTGCGGTCAGGACGCGCTTGTGCCGGCGGCCTATGGCGATGGATGGGCTGGAGCAGCAGCCACCCAAATTCCCCCAGCAAATGACATTGTGCTGCAGCAGCGTGGCGGAGCCAATCACACCCGCACTGCACAGCCAATGGGCGCCGGTGTCTTACCCAGCCACTGGCAGGGGCTCTGTGACTGTAGGACCTTGGTCCAGCTGTGCAAACAGCCTTCCTGCAGAGACAACCCCTCCAAGTTGGTTTCTCAGCACGAGAGCCATCCCTGCTGTGATTCATTTCCCAGCAATAACAATGCCATTGTAAATTATCCGGGGAGTGACGTGCCCTGCCTGCCACGTGATCTGCCGCTGGTGGGGAGGGCGCCGAAGTCATTTGGGTCTTGTTTCCCATTTAGCATTGCCACGGCTGCCTACCCAGCAGACCTGCCTCCGAGAGCCAGAGGGATGGTGGTAGTTACGGGGCAGAACAAAGTGAGTGGAAACCCGGATGATGCCATGTCGAGCTCGGATGCAGAGGATGATTTCCAAGAGCCAGCCACTCCTACTGCAACCCAGGCAGGACAAGCACTACCTCTGCTGCCTCAGCAGGTAAGAGCTCCCTGGTACTGTACTGATAAAGGCCAGTTATTGCAGCACGTAATGCTCAGGTGTCAGAGAATTTGCGATTTCCTTGTTGGAGGATTTATGGGTATCGAATTCAGTTTCCATTAGTAGCTAAATGGCTGGATAAAGCTAAGTCTCTTGATTTTTTTACTTCAGTAGCTCGGCAGCATTACTCATGTTTGATGTTCCATCCATGCTTGGACTTGAGAAATAACAACTGTTTATTCTGATACCAGAGCATCTTAAGAAGTGATATTAAGATTTTAGGCCTCCTATAAACCTAAATAGAGAGTCGGTGTTTTTTTTTTCAGTGCATCATATAAAATAGTATGGTATAGTATAGTATCATAAAGGAACCAGTAGAGTAGCAACTGAGTGCAAGTCCACGGTTGGAGAGGGTGGGTTCTTTTTGTTTTGTTTCCCCGGAAGAGCAGGAGGAGGCATTCATGCTATTAATGAATATCTGGTATTAAAGCTGAGTGATTACTGCTACTTCAGATTCCCAATTGACATTAAAACATCCCTGATTACACCCAGAAGTCAGCCAAAGTATTCAGGTTCTTAACCCCTGAACCTTACTGCTTTGCGGCAACAGGCTGGGAAAGAAAGCATTTGTCAGACCAAGTCATGTCACATTGGCAAAGACTGCCTGCTGTGTCTTCTAGAGGTTGTAACCCTTTCGGCCTGAACGTGTCTGGCACGGATTAGGGGCTCATTTGCGATGATGTGGTTGCTTCTGCAGTTTCCAGAAGTTGTTCCACTCAACGTAGGAGGCATGTATTTTACAACAAGACTGTCGACACTGAGGCGGTACGAGGATACGATGCTGGCGGCTATGTTCAGTGGAAGACACTACATCCCAACAGATGCTGAAGGCAGATATTTTATTGACAGAGATGGAACCTACTTTGGGTATGTGTCCTCAGTAGTATAGTTTAGAAGTTGTTGATGAAGAAAATTGTTTTTAAAGAAATGAAGAAACTATTTGTTTTACTCTTAAGGGCTGAAGTTTTACAGTAGGAAAAGAAAAACAAGTTTTGAATTTGTACGTTGTCTCCTCCAAAGTGTCTCCTTCCAAGGTATCAAGTTATTTTGAAGTTTTAAAAACGAATGTAGTTGGCACTGCTTTTCACAGGAAGCTCTTTTGTACAACACTGGTTTTAATTGATATTACAGTATATATGATAAAGAGGGAATGTAAGGAATGCATCTAAGTTCTAAACAAGCTGTTTTCAGTGTTTAAATAGGATATAACATAGCTGGTAAAAAGCACAAGCCTCAAATATTATTACTGCTGATAGTGCTATGTTCCTTCACTTTCAGCATTCCTTCCTGTGTGTTTAGCTTTGTTTTTAATTAAACTAACCATGATCATATTAGTACTCTGAACTGGTATGAGATCACTAGCAAAGGTAAGCAGTGTTCATGGTTTAATGTTCATGGGTTAAGGTCTTTGCTCAAAGCACACTTTGCAATTTAATTTACATTTCCTTAATCTCTTCAACAGAGAAGGACTGAATTAGTTTCAGAGCACATCTGGATTGTGCTGTAATCTGGGACAGAAATAGATTAAACCACTATATTTATTAGAAAATAATTGTTTCTCTACATTTGGTAATTTGAAAGTGCCTGGCACTTTGTTGGCAAATCACTTTATTTGTCATGTTGTCAGTCTGAATTGAAAACATAGCTGGAACACAGAGCCAAGTCAGCACGTGCTGTGTTTGTTGACATGCTGATGAAGAATGCAGGAATGCTTTGTTTTGTTTGCTATGGTCAATAATAGCTTTCTTAATGCTTATGAAGTGATTACTTTCCATGCTAAAAAATCTTGTAGCCTAACACTCTTTCCAAACTAGAATGAAGTGTTATTATCATTATGATATATACTAAAAGTGTATGTGGCCCTGATCCTGTGAAAACTTCCCTTTGCAAATGCACCATCCATTCACTACAGTCCTGGTTCTCTGTGGGATGTTGTCCATGTATATAATTCTTCAGGAAAATGGAAAAGATCATTTTGTCACAGACCTAAATTTGAAATACAGTGACTATGTTCTCTTTCCTGTAAAATACTGTCCCCTCTTCTGTTTTAAGTGGTTACGCCACTTCAACCTTTTTGTTTAAAATATGATGGTATTTCTGTTTCAGTGAGTTGTTCACTGCATTTTGGCAGAAATATGTTACTTAATAACATTTTTGCCCTTCTTTTAGAGACATACTTAACTTTCTACGATCTGGTGATCTGCCGCCAAGAGAACGTGTGAGGGCAGTTTACAAGGAAGCTCAGTATTATTCCATAGGACCATTGCTAGACAATCTAGAGGATATCCAGCCTCTGAAAGGAGAAAAAGTTAGACAAGCTTTCCTGGGCCTTATGCCGTATTACAAAGGTAAATAAATAAAGTAGTATTGGCTGTTTGTTCCAACATGATTTGAGTAGTTTAAGTGGTGCTTGCAGCTCTGCTTCAGCTTTGAAACTCCACTGTAGTTGAGAAGTTTATTGTGCACTTTTCATGCTCTTTAGATCTTTGAGGTCTCCACATCAGATTTGTTCCTGCTGCATCCAAGGATGTGGAATTTTATGCTGCCTTAAAAGAGAGCAAGATCTAGGCCACAACATGTAAGGCTTATTAAAAGAGGAGGTTTCTCTGTGTCCGTGTTTGTGCCATTAGGATGCAACTGAATGAACTTGGGCACATTGTAGGGACACGGAGTTCACAAGATGACAGACTGGTTTAATTACTATATATTTAGCTATGTACAGCTTTTTTTTTTTGCTGCTAATATTATGTTAAGAATAACTTAAGCACTGTAGTAATGTTTCACATGAAATAATGGCATTTGTTTTTCTTTTGCCAAGTGCTTCAGTGTTATTTTCAACTTTTTCATTCTGTTTTTTAGATCATTTGGAAAGGATCATTGAAATAGCAAAGCTCAGAGCTATGCAGAGAAAAGCAAGATTTGCAAAATTGAAGGTCTGTGTCTTCAAAGAAGAGATGCCCATCACTCCCTATGAATGCCCACACTTCAATTCTTTACGTTTTGAAAGGAGTGAGAGTGAGACAAAGCTATTTGAACATCACTGTGAAGTAGATGTATCTTTTGGGCCCTGGGAGGCTGTGGCTGATGTATATGATCTCCTGCACTGTATTGTGACAGACCTGTCTGACAGAGGGATAACTGTGGATCATCAGTGTATTGGGGTGTGTGATAAACACCTGATAAATCACTATTACTGCAAGCGTCCTATCTATGAATTCAAGATTACTTGGTGGTGAGTTACCTTGTCCAGAACAGTGCAGGGGATAAAAGGACTTCTAGATGACAATTGCTTTTAATATTTTTGCAACGTGTCTCTGGAAATGCATTGCTGCTAACAAGTATTGGAATCAGTCTGCTGAAACGTTGGCTAATGCTTAGCTGCTCAGCACAAGGGAAAACCTGGTACAGAGGTTGGCAAACCTCTGCAGTCTTGAAAAACCAGCCTGAAACAAGACTCTTGGCTCAGGTACCTTAACGAGGCACAAAACAAAATCACCTCATGGAAGTTACAGAGTGGAGCATCTAACATCTTCTATAAGGTGGCCCCTTCCATGTAGCTTTAGTATCAGAAACTGCAAAACGGACATTGCAGCTCTCACCTGCATTGTTATAAAGTGGGGGTGCTAAGAATGCTGACATAAGGTGGTTGAATTTTACCCACTTAGAAAAGTTTTAATCACTACTTAAACTTGCCACTTCCTAAAATCGAGTAACACCCAGCACAGAGATTCTGGAAATGTAATTTTCGTGTAATAGATCATTAAAAAAAGCAAAAAGAAAGGAGCGTTCCCTATATAGTATTAACTGTTGTCATGATTAAGCTATATTTCTTTTTTAATTAAAAATCTGCATTGTGACTTATAACATTATATTTCAATTATTTCCATTGTTATAAGAAGGAATAGCAGATTTGGAATATATTCCTTAATGCTTTTAGGAATAATAACTGTTCATGAAAGACTTGTGCCTGTTTTTAGCCTTAGAAATTCTAAATGTTTACAGTATCTACAAAAAAAAAAAAGCTCTTTAGAATCAGGTCATTTACAAAGGCTTTTGGTAAATGAGAAAACCCTATGTGTATGTTCCTATTAGCAGAAGTAAGAGGAATATTTAATGTATGTTATTTTATTACTGAGTCTTTTTACATTCTGTGATATTAAACTTTGTTCTAGAGTTAGAGTCAAGTGATGATACTAGACAAGTGCTTTCTTCACCTCACCTTCTCCAGGCAATTAAGTCTCATTTTTAACATTCTTGTTGACCCTTCCTGGTATAATATCAGGAAAAATAATTTCATAACCTTCATATTCAAATAATTCTCCAATTATAAACCAATATATCTGTGTAGTAAATGTCTTTCCATGCTGAAGGAGGCAGACACTGCAGAATCGTGTTCTTTTCTGAAGGTAATAGTTGCACTTCTGACATTAGTAACCACATTTCAAGGCTGGATTACTTAATGTCCAAAACTGAAAGGGAGAACTAAACATCTGAAGATACAACTGTTGTGTGAGGGACAGAAAATCAAGTAGTTCTCCAAAAGACCCCACGTGAAGTAGCCTCAAAGTAATCTTAAAGAGAGGGAAAATAAATGTTTGTGTATTGCATTCCATTGGATTAGCTGATCCAAGAATATTGCTTAATTAAGCTTGTGACCAAAACACTTAAGAAACATGTTAATTAGAATTATTCTTAAAATTACCTCAGTAACTGAGAATTTTCATAATTATAATAACTTTATGATCAAATTGTCTTGCAAAAAAAGAGGCAACTTGTTTGCGTTGTCACACTTGTATTTATGTAATTTAGGAGGTTTTAGTCATGTGCCTCTCTGAGGTGGGGGCGTACAGCTCTGATGATCTCTTTTCACATGTTTACTTACAGAGGATCATTGTCAAGTGCTGAGGTTCAAGTCCAGAGCTTAGATTTTGAAATGGAAGGAGGGAGGAAATCATGTGCATTTGGGTCTTCATTTAAGTTCATTTCAGTTGTTTTTTTAAATATTGGCCTTATGTTACAAGGTGTTGGACTTGTGTTTGACAGCGCAAAATTAAAAGTCAAATGAGACTACTTAAGATATTTAAGTTCAGGATTTACAGGACCAGTTTATATAAAGATTACAATGAGAATTGCAGTCTTACTGGGTTAATCAGTAACCATGTATGTATTTCCATGGGACATAAGTCTGGTTTGAATTTCAGCACAAATGGAACAGTTGGATTTAACAGTATGTTTTTAGTTTGGCTGTAAGACTTCTGCTGTTACTCTAGAGAAGCTGTGATGGCAAAATCCCTGTTTTGATCATGTTTGCTATTTCTTAATAGGCACACACTGATATTTTATAACATTCCTCCTAAGGAAGACTAACTAAAAAGACAGTCTTAGTTTGTATCACTTGCATCTCATTTGATGCTTTCATCCTTCAGATCCTCCAGAAGACAGCAAACATTAAGTGCAATATTGAAAGAGAAAGCAGGGATTTGAGCCAACATGCTTTCATTAAACATGTACATTCTGTGTTGTGACTTGTGCAGGTTAATAGTATTGTTACTGACTACACTCCTTCTAAGCAGTCTTTGTTTACAATGATTTAGATGATGTTGCCTAATGTGGGTTCATGTTTTGGCAGAAACAGAAGAGTTGGGCAGGCGGATGTCAGGGAGTTCAATCTAATAACTGGTTTATTATTGACTTACCTTTTCTTGGCGTGTAGCGTAACTTTTGAATTCTGCATTTGCAACAGAAATGTGAGTAGCTGATCTACTAAATCCATATTTAAGATGACTGATGTTTTTGTATATCGTGGATGCTTTATAATTGTCTAATTAAACTAAATGCCTACGTAATACTGCTTTTTTTCTTTAGGACTTTCTAGGCCAGAGGTTTGCTAGAACATATATTTACCCATTTTCTTGTGCTTCTCCTACTTAGCTTCTTTGCCACTTAAGCATCTAGATAACTACTTTTCCATCCCCAAATACCCTGTGTTTGCAACCTGATGCCACGGACAAATTGGTCAGGCAATGAAGGGTCTTGCGTTACCAATATAATAATTGCTATGAATATCATATTTGCAGATAGTTAGAAGGACAATGCATGTCCATCTGTTTAGCTCAGTTCCATTTGAAGGAAAGACATTGTGCTCTAAGACAGGATACATGCTGCTTTGGTTCTTTTGTCTATGGTTCTTAGTATATCTTTGCTTTTCCTAGTGAAATCCAAAGTTGCCTATCACTGCCCCCCCCCCCCGAATTGAATGCAGCCTGTTCCAAATCTGTCCTGTGCATTAGGCATGTGTTGGTTTTTGCAAACATGGAAGAGGGAGGGAATTAGTTCTGCAGCGTATTTCCCCAGGGACAACCCTTGCTAGCTCTGAAGGAATGCTTCAGTAGGATCCTGATCCACACTCCCCCACATCTCCATTTGTAGATGAAGAGTAAGAGGCATAAGGAGATGAAGTGCTTAGCCTGAAGATTCATGGTGAGCTGATGACTCTGGATTCCCCCTTTATCCTTACCCCTTTCTCTAAGATGTACAACTTTATGTGCAGGAAATTTACTACTTCTCTGCTGCTCCCCCAAATTTATTTACAAGGTGATTATTTAGTCTGGTTTAAAATTCTTTTAACATTACAATATAGTGACTGATAATTGCTAATTACTGGCAAAAAACCAGGACTAAATTAATTAAAATCCCTTATTTATAGCATAGTCACTTTAATTTTACTTTCTGCATTGTTTTTTCCTAAAGGCTGTTAAGAAATGTAAACTCTTAGGGCTTATGTCTGTTTCACAGTAATATGTTTTCCGCCTAAGTACCTGTATTTTGGGGTCCCAGGGCCTTGTTTATTGTGTGCTCTGAGCTGAAGGAGAAGTGCATGATCCCTTAAAATAATTAGTGATATAATTAAAGGTCATTATTTTCATTTGGCACTTGCACCCCTGGGAACCTTCCTTCCCAACATTATTCTCGCCCCTCATTCTTGTTGATAGATGACCTGGTTCAGGTGATATGATGAGGAAGATGATGGAAGTGCCAACAGGGAAAGCCTTGTGTCCGAGCTGATTGTTTGCACTGCATTTCAAGATTGTTTCCATTTTATTTCAAGAGGAAGGCTCATCACCATTTATGTGAGGTCAGGCAGAGGATCCAGCCTATCTGGAAACCCATGTCCATCCGTTTCCTGTGTAAGTTCATTTTGTTGCAATGTGTTGTTAAGGGGGTGGGAGAATCCAGTGGCTGTGGACTGTACAGCAGTGACCTGTGGGGTGGCTGCAGGGTCACACTACTTGAATTTCAGCATCACTCAGAGATCTGAGGACCTTTATGTCCCATCTTATACACTGGATCTGTCTTTTCTGCATAGCAAAGCAATCAAGTTTGAGATGCAGCTGCCTGGCAGGCAAGAGCAGACTTCAGAGACTGTTGAAAGATGCTCTCTTAACTGCTCATAAATCTCTGGGACATGATATTTCTGTCACTTAACAACTACTTTAGGCAATTTATAGACCCCTCAGGCTTTAAGTTATGGTTGGTATTACTGAACCCTGGAGTTGTGTTGATCTCTTTGGTTACCTATAGATAAACAGTTTTCAATGTTTTCAGGTTGGTCACACACAGCAGAGAGGGCCCAGCATAGTCCTGAGTTTTGGGCTATGGAAACATGATTTAACAAACAGAAAAGAACCCTCCAGTCTTTCCCTATCATGTTCTGTTACTATCTTCTGTATGTAGTCCTCTAACTGGAAGTTGCTTCCCAAACCAGTTCTTAGTCATTTTACTTACACAAGCTCAGTATAAGTTTACTTCCACTTTCACTGTGACTTTTGTAAATGGATTTTGTGTTGCTGAACTGTAAATTGTATGTGTCTATGCATTGTAACCCGTAATGCCTTTGAAAATCCAGCCTGGATGCTACCAATCAGGGTTTGATGTTTAAGTAAGTTGATGCGTGATGTTTAATACTGTGGTGTATTATTTCTTACGACGTTTGACTTTTCAGTTCAGGTAATACGTAGTCCATGTTTTTTAGCTAAAATACATAGAAGAAAATGTGGATATCAAGTCTCTGTTGTGCAATAAAAGTACATTCCACTGAAAACTGCTGGAATCTGGCCTGCAGCCACTGCAGTCCCTATGATTTGAGCTTGCTTTGCAAACGAAAATTAAGACACAAATCTCCATTGCAGGCTTCATTTTAATGGCACCAGCTGCTAACTTGTTCACCATCATTTCCCTCAAAGGAAGGAAGTACTTTTGCAGTGTCTGCAGTCTCCCTGGGGAGATGGGCTGGAATCAGCCCTTTCAGTTCTGCTTCTTTCCCCCCATGCCCTTCTGTTCCTATCAAGACAGTCCCAAGGAGGGCCAAACTGTCCCCCCTTGTGCAGTGCTCAGTTTCTGAAGTAACTAAATTACTCTTTTCCCTGCTATTTGTCTTGCTAACACCATCCCTTGCTTTCACAGCTGCATGTCTGTGTGGAGCCCTGCTGTGGAAGGAAAAAAAACCCAGACACCAAAAACAGCACGAGAGGACTGTGTAAATAAGAAGGGAAAGAGGAATAAGGTTTAAATAGCACTAGCTCTTTCTGTTCCCTCTGCAGTCTCCATAAGCACATGCTCCAGAGTGCTGCCTGAGTGTGAGGTAAAAGCAAAACATTTGCCATAGAATCATAGAGATCGCAGAATGGTTTGGTTTGGAAGAGACCTTAAAGCTCAGCCACGGGCAGGGACCCCTTCCACCAGAGCAGCTTGCTCCAAGCCCCTGTGTCCAACCTGGCCTTGAACACTGCCAGGGATGGGGCAGCCACAGCTTCTCTGGGCACCCTGTGCCAGCGCCTCAGCACCCTCACAGGGAAGAGCTTGTGCCTAAGAGCTCATCTCAGTCTCCCCCCTGGCAGGTTAAAGCCATTCCCCTTGGCCTGTCCCTACATCCCTTATCCAAACCCCTTCTCCGGGTTTCCTACAGCCCGGCCGTACCCGCCAGCCGCAGGCGGGCTCTCCCTGCCTTCCTTCCGGGATCGGGCGCGGCCCCCGGAAGCCGCTGCCCGTCCTTCCGCCGCGGAGGGGAGGGGAGGGCAGGGGAGGACGCGCCGGGCCGCGCTGAGGGCAGCGCCGCCGCCGAGAGAAGCGGAGCAACGCGGAGCGGAGCCGCGGGTCTCGCCCCGCCCGGGGCAGCCGGTGAGCAGCGGCTCTGACCCCGCTGAGGCGCTGCCGGGCCTCGTCGGGGGCTGCCCCGGGGACCGCTGGGCCTGGCGGCGGGAGGGGGTCCTGCGCGGAGGGAGTGGTGGCGGTTGGGGCAGCGCGGTCGGTGTCTCCGTTCCCCCGTTGCCTCTGATATAAGTGCCGGCCATTGCCGTGTCGGGGCCGGCTTCGAGGCCGGGGGACTGGGGGATGTCGTTACCGGCCCCGCCGCCGCCGCCTCCCCTGGGGCTGTAAACGGGCTGAGCGCACCGGGACGCGGAGAACCGTGCTCAGCCCGCGGCCTCTGCGTGCAGCTCCTCACGTTCGGTTGTTTTTATATGTATTTATCTTAATGCCATGGGTGTGTTTCGATAGTTAATCAGGGTGAAGGTGCCACTAAAACTTTGCAGGTCGGGCCCCTCTGTTTCCCTACCAAGTTCCTTGTGGAACTCTTTGCTTATAAGCATTCTTGCTGCATGTCTGTCTGCTGTAAGGCTGGGGATCAAAGTCCTTGAAGCCCAAACCAGATGGAGTTTGGAGTGTGTTTAAGATGCTGAGCAGCGCGTTTTGGATGTTTCTGTGGGTATTTGTCACCGTGTGAGCACCCTGTGCCTGTTCAGGTTGTTCTCTTGCAGCAGGGAGTGGTTGTATATTCAGAGAGGGTGTGTGAGGTGTTGAAAGAGAAATGACACACCTGGAGTAACAGAACGTCTGAGGAGGTGGTTTAACGCCGGCTTAAATCCTGCTGGTGTGGGCAGGGGCACTGATGCTTGTGTGAGGGGTTGTGGGGTTAACTGAAGGAGTTGTTACAGGCAAAATTGAATTCATTTTGGGGATCTGAGTGGGGCTCTGATGTAGCCCAGTGCTGGGAGTTGGTGGCACTGCCTGGGTTTGGAGAAAGGGTGGAAAAAGGGAGGTTGTGATTTAAGTCCAGTATCGACTTTCCATACTTCTCTTGTTTGGTCGTGAAGGTATTCTTTGAAGTGGTGCTTTGTATTAACAGTTCTTCATGGGATGTGTATGGAGCAGCTCTTGGCTTTCCAGTTGAGACTCCTTTGAGACAGCTCAGCTCAGAAGGACGTAGCATTTTCCAGGAACAGAAGTTTACTTGGCAATTGTTGGCCTTCTGGACATGGTTGCACAAGTGTTTTGCAGCAGGGAAGGTTAGGAAGAGAACTGACTCAATGGAATGCTTTGCTGACAAAACCCTAAAACAGCACACAATAGAAGGGAAGAAAGGGATATAAATCAGGTTACAGTCGTTCTTAAGATGACTTTATGCAACAAAGTGATTATAAGCTTGATGATAGTCCATGATTCTGATATTTAATCTTGGCTTGCAGTGTTATCTAATCTAGAACAGTCTCAGCTCCCTCCTGATGTTTGCTATGTAATGCCTGATTATGGGTGTTCTTCTTTCTTTCTGATATTGGACTACTTGTGAACTCAAATGGCACCTAAAATTGTGCTTGTGGAGTCCTTTAAAGTACTGTCAGTAACAAGTCAGGTACAAAGTGTATAAGATGTTCTGCAGTTTTTCTCCAAGGTTTTAACCTGTAGTTTGAATCCAGTGAGTGTGGTTGACATCTTGGAAAAAGCACAGAGGGTGTAGAAGGTCCATCACTGCTGTATCTGAGGAGGTTTGACAAGTTTTAGCTAATCCCCTTC